TCCCAATCCTCTGGTGGGTCGAACCTTCAAACAACTAGTAAAGCACAATCAACGCATTACGGGGCTAAGCAACCGTCATCACCAGCATTGAGTCATCTTCAAGCCAACACCAAAAGAAAGCAGTTGAAGATGTGAGGCTTTCAAAAGTTCCCTCACAGTTGGCTAAACCACTTGCACGTTCAGCATCCTTAAATAATCAGAAAGCATATACTGCATCTGAAACAACCAACCAACATGTGGAAACTGAATTGCTGCTACCTTCGGAGAGTGGATATGCGGACCCTCCCACAAAAGAAACTCTAATAGAAGAAAACATTCGACTCATGGGTGGTAAATTAAGGAAACATAGATCTGCAGGTCAATGAAATAATGGAGATCGACCTGACTAATAGACTATCAAGCTAAACATCCTGAGCCATATCGTTAAAATACATCAGCCTTTGATCATCATCCTTACAGTAGCCGAGATGCAAATTACCACCAGGCTTAGCCGAGCTCTAACAGTATCAACAATCGACGATGTGAGCTCTATATCGAGTACAATTCCATCATATGTAGCTATTTATAAATAATATCGATGATCAAAGGCTAGATTTCTGATAGGAAAATGAGGTGATTCAAACTGTATAATTTGGGTTTCGACTGACGGTTAGCGATGACAGCCGATGTGGTATCCACCGGCAGATAATGGAAGCCGATGATCAGCCGTTGGAATATCCTCGCGTGAGATATTAACAGCACAGAAGAATAAAGAAAAAAATATAGAAATGGTGGAAGGTTGCGTGAAATAAAGAAGTGGTTTCATAATTTCTTTTGAAATTCACGTGGTTGTGGGGTGTAGAAAAAGTAAGATGGGCAAATCATGGTTTCAGTCCTCTATGTTTGGTAAGGTTCTAACTTGTCCTTAAGTTTTAATAAATTTAAACCAAGCTATGATAAGTTTAAATTAATTCGATATAGTACCTAATTTTAGTTATTAAATATTTTAGCGATTTTAAAAGATTTAGTTTTATCATTTGGATTCCCAAACTAGAGAAAAAAATATGAATCTCGACCCAGTACCTTCCGATCCATCTGTATGTATCGAGGACGTTTGAATGGAGTTTAAATGGTCGATCAGTATGGCATAAAAATCGAGGTAATACATTACTACTTTTTCATGCTTTATGTAACATGTTGGTATTGGTAAATGCATGAATAGAAATGTTTGTTCTCATATGTGTAATTAATGAAGTTCTACACACGATTCGAATACAGTAAAAATTCTGTAAATGAATATGACTCAGATGATTGATATAAGAAATGAATCGATTGTTAGAATTAAATTATGAGTTCTGTGATTAGTGATAAAGGTATTATCATGGATTTGTAGCATATAAATTATTTCATCAAAGGTACTAGGATGGGAAATTATGAGAATATTCCGGTAGGGTAAAATTACAAAAATACCCTTATGTTGTAAGATGACAAGAATTGTCCCTGGAAGTTGACTAATAACTTTGAAAGGATATATTGATCTTAGAAAACTATAGATGTGTATAAAACAATGCTAGTTTGCTTAGAAAATTTGGATAGCCAGGTTTTAACCCAATAGGTTTTATGTAAGATACTAAAAGTCTGTTAAGGAATCATTTCGAGATCAAAGAATGTTCGGGAAAGCAATTAACCATTGGATCTCTAAAGTATAATTATAGTCGTTACGAGTTAATACCGAAATTATCTGGTTAAGAAATTACGAAAATGCCCTTGAGAGGTAAAAATAGTCCGAGTTGACTCTGAATGAGGTAGTAACATGAGAATTTGTTTTTAAACCGGTAAATTACTGATTTGATTGTTAAGATCCTATTTTTGTATGGAAAATTCCTGATAATCCGTTAGTAACATCTGAGAATACATTTAACTTAGAAATCTCCTACTTGAGTAAGTACATGAAGAATAATAATTTATCGAAGGTGATATTTTGTCAGAATTCTTCGAAATGACTAAAATAGTGATAAGTTTGAATTCGATAATGAGATCGAACGGAAGAAAATGATTGTAATACATTGGATCTGTAAAATGACCAGAATACCCTGAAATGAAAATAACCCAAGAATAGTACTAAACTCAAGAATGATTGGATATCCTCGAGCTCTGAAATTAATGGAATAAAATTGAGCACCAGAATAACCAAAATACCCTTATGGCCTAGACTAAGTAAATGTCTTGGATTAATTAAGGAATTCAAATAAACATGGGTGTTGTTCTACCCTTAAAATTTATGGAACACAGCTGAAGTGAGCCGATCAACCCCAATGATATGTCAGTACCTGAACGACATAGATATCATTTGAATATGTGTTCGTCTTCTCAAGTTTGGATCGATGATAATTCTGGAAGTACTTGGCTTAGCTCAACTCTAGAGCTCATTCGGTACTAAGAAGTGGATATTCGTGAGACAAATCAACCACGAATATCAGAATGATTATTATATGACTAAATTGAACTGAAAGAAAGTACGATATTTATCCAAAATTCAAAAACGTCTGTATTACTCTGAAAAACTCTGAAGTAACCGGGATAGACATGATTGCTAAATTAACTAAGTAACATCAATGATTGAGGATTAAATAAGTGATTTGGATGAATCTGGAAACACTGTTGAATTTACTTGATGAGTTGTCCTTATGGGTCATGAATCAAGTACGTTAGTATTGTCAGATATAGTTGAAACGTGGGAATGAAGTAAAGATCATTGGAATATTTGTTTGTCTCCTTAAGACTTATTCGATAATATTTCTGAAGATGATCTATGAATAAGATTTGTTGGTATTAAAGAGTGAATACCATGGAAGGGCAATGAATTAACTCGTTGATATACATTAGTTTTGGGAGTTATTCGATAGTTCGATCGATTAACATGGATGGTAAGTGCCCTGAATCTTCGTTTCTCCTTTATCAGTTCAAATTACTCCGGTCATACCTGAACTCTTTGTTGATGCATATGAAAACATAGTGGGATTCTAAAGTATCAACCATAAATGTCGGATTAGATCGGTTAGTAATTGATTCTCTTCAATAGGACCTCCTTCCTGGGATCTGATCAAAAGACATCAGTTTCATGTTATCTATGTTGATAACTGCAAAATACCTCTAATAAGTACTGGGATTTCTCTAGTGTGTTCCTTTTTTTTAATAAAATGTTTTGTTGTTTTAACATGAGGTACACTGAAATCTATGGTTACTGTTTTATAGATGCACTAACTTAATGGTGATGACTTATGGATTTGTATCACGGTATAAATTGTATCTTGGAGATACAAATTTGTATAGTACAACTCTGATCAAGCTGGAAAATTTTTATGGACCTAATGTGACTCTTAGGTAGGCTCTGCGGCCCTGAGATCATTCTCGGGTAGGCCCTGCGGCCCTAAGATATGTTCTTAGGTAGGCCCCGTGGCCCCGAACTTTTTTAGGTAGGCCCTGCAGCCCTAAGATGTGTTTTTAGGTAGGCCCCGTGGGCCCGAACTTTCTTGGGTAGGCTCTCAGGCCCTAAGATGTTCCCTTAGGTTAACTCTATATACGATGGTTTTAAAATCTGAGTTTAAAAAAGCTTCACTACAGTATGGTTTATGGGATTTACTGAACTATCATTTGATTAGTGTACCTATTATGATTTTATCGTACTGATGGAACACACTAGACATCCTATTCGACCTCATGAAACGTGATATTATGAATACTTCCTATTAAATGTGTTCTTCATGGCTTCTACTCGATGATCTATTAAGGGAACCCCAGATTATTCCGCAAACTGGTATAGGTATGATTCAATAAGGAAATTAATTGGCTTTTCATTTATCTGCATATCATGTAGCATCATCTGGTAGTTTTGTGTTACTGAGCTTTCCGAAGCTCACTCTATTACTCACTATGACAGGTTAAAAGAATTGTACCAGTGCAGTTGTCGACATCAATAAGGGAGTTCTTTCGGCGTTGCTTTCAGAGGATGGTACATGTGATTAGAGGGCATGTAGATTGTATTTTGTTTTATATATGAGTTTAAAAAAATATTTTATTTTTGAATAATAATAAATCATTTTATGATTTTACATGTCTTAGGAAAAGTTTTAAATTTTTCGCTATTTTTACAGTGGGTCGCTCCGGTGGCCCTAATGTGACACTCCAGATCAGATCGAGCTATCCGCATCGATCTGAGGGGGTTACATAATATTTGTTTAATTTAGTCCTTCAAATTATATTTGTAAATGAAATTGACCCATACTTATTTATATTTTTGTAATTTACTTCAAACTCTATAAAATATAAATCACATAATAAATTTTATTTGTAATTATGTTCTCCAACTTTTTAAATGTATGCAATTTAGTTAATTTTTTTATATTACTATGAATTCATTTGATCCCTCATCGGCTCATCCATGCATGGTGTTTAATTTATTTACTTTTTCTTTCCAATTTCATGTTTGCTCAACTTGGTACTTCATATTATATTTTCAGCAAAATTGACTCATAATTATTAATATTTCTTTTAATTTATTCTAAATCATATATAATTACGAATTACAATTTGATGTTCTCATTCACATTCATTATTGAAATGCGAAAAATAATTAATCAAAAATTGTCAAAATTATTCGACCTGAACTCATTCCGTATCTGATAAAGATCCAACCTGAATTTTATCTGCCAATGATATCACCAGAACTGAATGAGATCCGCCTGAAGTCCATCCGAACCTGAATTAACCTAATTTTTATCTGCTCCGGACCTGAACTGACATCAATCCGATCAAAAATTAACTCGACCTGAACCCAAACTAAATCTGATATCAAATCAACTTGAAAGTAACCCGAACTGATTTGACATAAACCCGACCTGATCTGAGTTGAAACATCAAATTTACCTAACTTAATCTGTATCCGATATTAACCGACTTACTAAGATCTAACTGAAACCTAAACAATTACCCCCATTTTACAACCCTACACAGAGAAAATAAATAATTTATTCACTTTCTTTTCGGGAAGAGGGCCAACATTTGGGTCTCTTTTGTTGTGTGTTCCTTTCAATGGTTGAATTATAGAAACCCAAACAAATCATTCATTTTAATCCCCTTACGAATTTAGTAATGAAGAAAAACTAACGCAAGATGCGATCTTTGATTTGATTTTGGGAGTGTGGTTGAATATAGACCGTTGGCTTTTCCATTTTCGTTATTAGATAGTGAGAATTACAGTCGGACAAAACCCCAAAAAAATAAACAGGTAGAAATGCACGGAGGTGATGAGGTGGTCGCAGCTCCTTCACGACCGTCAGAACCGTTGGATTGGAAATTCTCTCAGGTATTTGGTGAAAGAACCGCTGGAGAAGAAGTTCAAGAAGGTAAACTATTATTGTTTTTGGATCCAATTTGTAATTTGTTGGTTTTATTGGAACTAGGGTTTGTTTTGGTGTTTTGGATCTATTTGTTTAGGTTAATGGATTGGAAAAAAAGGTTGAAGCTTTTTTGTTTGCTCTAGGTTTTTGCTTCGCTTTGGTAATCATTTCTGGGTACTTTATTAGAAAGGAGGTATTGGGAGAGTGAACTTGGTGAAGTTAGTGATGGTGCATGCACAAAGGGTTGTTCCATTTGTTATGTGTTAATGACAGTCGTGGGAATCTGAGTAGTTTCTGTACCTATTTCCTGGGTTCGTGCATTGCAATTCATTTACAGTATTGAGATTTGAATTGAAATTAGAATCTGGGTATTGTCACTCTGTTAGGATGGAGATAGACTATGTTTCACGAGTGTACGCCACTTCAAGTCTTTAACTCATGGATGGATGGCAACCTTGGTTTGGCTTGGGTTTACTATTTGTATGATAGAGAGGTTAGAGATAGCTCCAATTTACAGATTCCTAGGTTTACTTGGTGGTTTATTTTAATATGAGTCGGTTATATTATGGTAAACTTCCTAGTAAATGGGACACACAGAAAGTTATTTTGATTATGAATTGAATAATGTGACATTGTATGGTGCTTGAAAGAAAGACATAATTCAGTGATTGGTAGATATCTGATCTTTTAGTTTCTAGTTTAAATTAATACCATTTAGTTCAGTAACTCAATACTGAAACTTGGATTAACAGTTTGAGTTCAATCTCTGCAAGTATAACACAGGCAGATATTGAAGTATGCTACTGAAACAGATGAATAAAGACCTTAGGCTTTCAGAAGCATTGAAGTGTGCATGGCGATAGTTAAAGTTGGATTCAGTGAGAAACTGATACCTTTCAGAAACATTTCTGTCGATTCTGGTTGAATGGACAATTATCTATTCGTCTTTCTATCTATCTAAAACTTGGATTGACAATTTGAGTTCAATCTCTGTATAACATGGGTAAATGTTGAAGTATGCTACTGAAACAGTTGATTAGGCTTTCAGAAACATTGAAGTGTGCATGGCAATAGTTAATGTTGGATTCAATGAGATATCGATATCTTTCAGGAACATTTCTGTTGATTCTGATCGAATGGACAGTTATCTATCATCTATAGATCGATCAACAATAACTAAAGTGTGGCTAAATATTGCAGATTTCTATTTTGAGTTCTTGAAAAATAATGAATCAGAGTCTCTGGCTAGGATTTTTTTGGAAAGGAATTATTTTGGACTTTCATATAATCATAGTGCTTCTTACTAGTTGTGTGGTAGTTCAATTTTCATTCTTCTTGTCTTTCCAAATTAAGCTTGTTATTGTCACAATTTCATTTTTCTTAAGCTTCGCAGAATAATAGTGTGATGCAATGGCAAAGAGAATATGCATTACAATGTTGTGGATTCTTCATGTTAGGCATGACAGAAATAGTTTATATTTATCACATATTAATCCCCTTTTTTCCTATCAGAGAGAAAGATGATGTCTAGAAAATAAAAATTATGTCAAGAGAACAGAGACTGAGAGTTGTGATTCATTGATAGAGAGACAGATAATTTGTATTTAGCATTGCTCTTACCAGAAGTATATTGTTATTAAGAAAGTATTTTTCCTCCTGCAGTTGATATTATATCTGCCATTGAATTTGATAAAACCGGGGATCATCTTGGCACTGGCGACTGCGGGGGACGTGTTGTTCTCTTCGAGAGGACAGACGCAAAGGATGTGGGTTCTGGCACCTTTTCTGATGTTAATTATTACCTTAGTGTTTTTCTTGGGTTGCAACTATAACTTATTTTACTACAATTGTAGCATGGCGTATCAAGAAGAGATCTGGAGATAATGGATTATCCAATTAGTCGGCACCCTGAGTTTCGTTACAAGATGGAGTTCCAAAGCCATGAGCCTGAGGTGCTCTCTTATTACTTTATGATGCATGCGCGCACACACACAACCTTAGAACCCGTATTCCACTAGGCTCAAGATTTTTGCTCCATCTTCGCCTGAATATTTTCCCTTTCTCTCTTCAATTTAACCCTCTCATTATTTGTTTGGATAATGCAGTTTGACTATCTCAAGAGCTTGGAAATAGAGGAAAAAATCAATAAAATCAGGTGGTGTCAAACAGCCAATAGTGCCCTTTTTCTCCTTTCCACCAATGATAAAACCATCAAGTTTTGGAAGGTAGGAAGGAAATCTGTGCTGTAACTACTATCTTTACTTTGTCTTGTTTCAGGTTGATTGTAGATTGTCCATGTTAACACTCTGTCTGCTATAAGTAGCGGCTGGTACTTTAGGATGCTCATTCATTTATAATTGAATAAATCTGCTACATGACTGCAAAGTTAGTGGTGCATAGATTGACTGATTCCTAGGAAATGCTTAGAAAAGAGAAAAACATGATATTTCTCGTTTTATCCTGGCTAATCTTCTGAGCATTGGTGTTAAGCATACTGATGATTGATATTATCATCTGTGGATACCTCTGCCCGTTGTCTTCTAACCCACTTGATTATCTGCTGTCTGTATGAGGGTTCAACAGGTACAAGAAAAGAAAGTCAAGAAAATTTCTGACATGAATTTGGATCCATCAAAAGCTGTAGGAAGTGGCAGTGTTGCTAGTTCAAGTAGTTCAAGTAGCCCAAAAACTTGTCTTGTGAATGGAAGCTCCTTCGATGGATCCTACAACAAGTTGAGCAATGATTTTTTATCACCAGGAGGCCTTCAATTGTTGCGTTTACCTGCGGTAGTTGTATTTAAACAATCTTTGTTTTATTCGCTGTGATGAAGTTTTAGGCTATTAATATTTATATACAATTGCACCATATGAGTTAAATCAAACTCAAGGTTAGGGGGTTGATAATTTATTTATTTTTAATTTGTAATACAAGTGCAAAGTAGGGTGGTGAACTCTTTTGTTGTACCCATTATTTCCAAGAGCAGTACTTCAAACTGAATTAGGGTTAAAGCCCATGATTCTTTGCCCCATCTTTTGGTGATGAAGACAAATTATATTCATTATTCAGCATTTTACATTTTTTTGCATCATTTCCTATAAATATAGACTGCAATGTTTTTATGTAATATGCTGTTAGATTTTAGATTCTGTTATTATTTTTATTATTGAGGAATCTACTACTTTCTGCGCTGCATATCTTTTTGTATGATGAGGCCTTCATGACCGTAGATCACACAAGTCCTTTGAAGATGACCTGGTTGTTCTTTCTTTTCTTTTCTTTTTTTCCTATTTTTTCTTACTAGGGAAGAGTGTTAGGATTTTGTTGTCAAATAGATGGGAACATCTTCTTTTGTTGTCTAAATGTCTCGGCTGCTCAACCTTTAATCTTCACTATATCTAGGTAACAAGTCAGGAGATCAACCTAGTGGCTAGATGTCGAAGGGTATATGGCCATGCTCATGATTATCACATCAATTCTATTTCAAATAACAGGTAGCTATTTACTTTGATTTATTTCAAGGCTTCCTATATTTGGATTATTTGGAAATTAGTTGAAGAAGAAGTATGATTTCTTTTTCCTAGATAATATTTAGTAGGATCAAGAATCTTAACTTATTCTTCTCTGATGGATGAAAAGTCTTCATCAGCCCACACTTCAATACGCTTATAAAAGAGTTTTAGTCTGATAATTGCTTAACCTCTATCATATTTTTGTTGATATATGCTTTAGTACTTTGCAGTATCTTTCTGAGGTATCTCCTGAGAATGTGACGCTATCTTTTATTGGGTTATTGATTGGAACTGGCGCCGATTGTGCTTCTATTCCCCCCCCCCCCACATTTTCCATCCTAACTTTGTGTTGAAGGCATATGAATCTCTATTGATAATGATAAAGGATTAATTTTTCAACTAAAGATATAATGAATCTCGATTCCCTCCTGATAACATTCTGTTCTGAACTAATGTTGTCGTGTCCAAGAAAGAAGCTGTTATTCTAAATGGTCTTTGGGGACACTGTTCATGCTTTAGAAATGGAAGATTGGTTCATAACATTGAGAAAACTGGAGAACTTCTAACCATAGAATATAAATGACATGGATGGAGCTTTCCTCAGAAATTATTCTTCTCTGTTTTAGGCCTTGGAGACATCACTTTTGCCTTAGAACTTGTTTAATAGGTTCTATGATCTATTGATCATGTTTTGTCCCATGCAACCCTTGAGGCATTAGATTATTTAGTTCATGCAAAATATTTGAATCTAGAAGTACTAATCTTTTATCATAGAATTATCTAGTACCTGTCTTGAAGTTAAATTGTCTGTACACAATGTTTCTGCTCTACATTTATTCTTATTCATGTAAATTCTTTGGAAATCCATACGGTGATATTTAAGCTTTAGGATTGTATGCACTTTTTATTTTATCGGAAAATAGTAAGCTGTTGTATGACAAGCTTGTTTGTTATGTTTGAAAACACATCCTGTTTCAGTGTTTTGCTTTCATATTAGTTTGATTTTCAAAGATATACTGATAATCTGTTACCCTCTCTGTCTCTCTTGTATTTCCTAGTGATGGGGAAACTTTTATATCAGCTGATGATCTACGTATAAATCTTTGGAACTTGGAAATTAACAGTCAAAGTTTCAATATTGTTGATGTAAAGCCTGCAAACATGGAGGACCTAACTGGTAAGTAGTCTCTTACATGTTGGTACTTTCATCTGCTCCTTTCACTTATGAAAGTATAATCAACTTCAGTGCTTTTTAATAAATTCACGAAAGCAAGGTTTAAACTATAGTCATGCCGATCTTTGCAGAGGTTATAACATCAGCTGAGTTTCACCCTACCCACTGTAATATGCTAGCTTATAGTAGTTCAAAGGGTTCAATTCGCCTCATTGATTTGCGGCAATCAGCTTTGTGTGATTCTCACACCAAACTGTAAGTGTAATACCATTGATTGCTTCTTTTGATGAATTTACTCAGGTTTGCACCAAAAATTTAAAATACCAGGCTATAAATCCTGACATGTAGGGTTATATATTTACTATGTGTCTTCAGTATTCTTTCTAAAATATAAGTAATATTCTATGACAACAGGTTTGAAGAACCGGAGGCACCTGGTTCTAGATCATTTTTTACAGAGATAATTGCCTCAATCTCGGATATTAAATTTTCAAAGGACGGAAGATATGTTCTTAGCCGTGATTACATGACTCTTAAGGTGTTGCTTTCTCTTCTTGTTTTGCTTTATTTTCTTGTTTTCGGCATTGACATATAATTACTTTGCATTGCATGAGCTTCACATTATGGATGTAATTCTTCTTAAGCATGCCACGATGATTTTATGTGACCCCGACTTAATTATCTATCACATTATTGAGTAAGACAATGAAAGGATTTGACTGCATTGATGCAATGTCTTATGCAGAAAGCATGAAACTGCAATGGTTTTTTCCTGCAAATATCTGCCTGATAAAATATTCTAGTTTTTTAGACATTTAACACAAATGTGATTAAAATAGAAACAACAATTTGGCTTGTAGGCATTTTGGCTTGGACTCAAGATAGTCAAACAATTTTATTTATTCTATAGAGAGCTTATCATGAAGGCATGACACAGGTGGGGGTTAAGATTAAATGTTATGATACCTTTTATTCATTGAACATAAATATATTTAATCATTTTAAAGTTGCTGTTGAGCATTCCTTCCCCGTTCACTGTTTGGATCAATCACATGTCATTTTTTTTTCATTTTTTTATTCTTTGAACATACTTAAATTTGAATCCCTCATAACATGGTTAATTCATATCAGTATCTTTTTCTTTTTGTTAAAATTTTACCAGCATGCATACTTTTAAGCTGTAAGACTTTCGAAGTTGGTTTTAAACTTATGGTGTCCTTGATATCATATACATTTGATATGTCCTTAATGGGCATTTTAGGACTTGTCATCTGACTTGATTACATGTCACTTGGTTGTCAGTTGTGGGACATCAACATGGATTCAGGTCCAGTTGCAACATTCCAGGTTCATGAATATTTACGACCTAAGGTATGATTTCTATGTTCTGAAAAAGATGATGAAATTAACCATATCTGTGTTATGCTTTGACAGACCTTTTTATTGCGTTCTTTGATTGTTTCAGCTGTGTGATTTGTATGAAAATGATTCAATTTTTGACAAATTTGAATGTTGCCCAAGTGGTGATGGATTGCGAGTGGCAACGGGTTCCTATAGGTTTGTTTTCATCCAAAAGCCTGTCTCCTAACCTTTTGTTGTTGCCGTTGTGTTCTTCCATGTGACATAATATATATTTCCCTGTACTCTCAGCAATCTATTCCGTGTATTTGGTTGTGCCCCTGGAAGCACCGAGTCGACAATTTTGGAAGCCAGCAAAATTCCAATGAGGTAAAGTTTCACTCCAGGGTAACCTTTCAAAAATAAAGTAAAATTCGATAAATGAAGTACACTCTAAGTAGTTATATACATCCATTTGTCTTTCCAGGAGACAAGTTCAGACTCCCACAAGGCCTTCCAGGCCCCTAAGCAGTATAACACGTGTTGTTAGACGAGGTTATGATTTGTTGTTCATTTGTTTCCTTTTGATTATTTTCTTCCTTGGACATCTTCTGGTGCAGGGTACAGTTTAATGATTTTTTTCAGTTCTTGATTTGTGCTCTGAAGCTTTTATTGTGGTGAATTTGTCATATCAGGATCAGAGACTCCCGGTGTTGATGCGAATGGAAATGCTTTTGATTTCACAACAAAGCTGCTGCACCTAGCATGGCACCCAACTGAAAACTTTATTTCCTGTGCTGCTGCAAACAGCTTATACATGTACTATGCATAAAGATAATCCAAGAAATGTACTTGGCTTAACCTTTTTTCTGGTAGTCGATGGTGAAAGCTCCTTTCCCGTTCCTTCCAAGCAGCGAATTGAAGGCTAAAACGAGTCCCACCCTCCAGTGTTTGTCTCCCAAAATCCGAAGCATGCTGTTTAGTCTCAAGATCAAGAAATGGCTGTCACAGATCCAAGAGGATGCCAACCTATCACTGTTCACAGGTTTGCACAGCTTAATTCTCGGTATCTTGTGTCTTGTCCTCTTCTCTCGATCCCTGGAAAGCCCTTCAGCATGTTCGTTTCATTTTCCTCTTTTATACTTCCTCCTGGAAGATGGAGTAATGTTTTTAGATTTGTGTTGCGTTGAAGTTGGCAGCAAAACGTGATTGTAGCTCCCCTACAAGAAAACTAAAGGATGTTCTATATTTGCCACTTAGGTTTAAGGTAAATGTTGGTGGGAAGTAGCTGTCAAAACTGTCAGTGCAATTTTTTTATTGATTCTTTTGTCATGTTTGGAACTTCATCCTTCAGTTTTAGGTAATTGTATCTTTTTCTTCTCAATCAAAGGAGGTAACCTATTGATGGATGTATGTTTCTGTTATTGTATTGGTGTTTATTGATACTAACGTGTATATGATATGCGTATCGATACGATTATGGCAACAAGGATATCGAGACTACAAATAACATTGCTTTGAATACCTTAAACCTCACTTGAAAGATATGGTGAAATGGGTTCTCATCTGCATTCAACCACAAAGTTGAAGAAAGTCTCAATCGTGTATTCCTTGAAATTAAAGTATAACTGTGCAAGTATGTATGAACCTACTGCAAATATCATCAAAATTGAGCATTGAGTTCTATCTCCATAATGGGTAAAATTCATTAAAAGTTGAATATGCACATAACCCCAAGTAGAAATGGCAATGGGACGGGTTTTACTCGCCTCGAACCCGAAATGAATTCCCGACCCCGAGTCGATTCCCGTCGGGTTTTTTATTGGGGGCCCGTCGGGGATTTTTTTTTGTCCCATCCCGAACCAACCCAAAATATTATACTCAAACCCGAACCCGAACCCGAAAATATTATATATATAATTAATATAAAAATATAAAATATTATATATATAATTAATATAAAAAATACAAAATATTATATATATATATATATATATATATAATCGGGGCGGGGATACCTTGCCCCGTCCCCGAACCCAACCCAAAAAAATCCCCGATACTCGACCCGACCCGATATCATTCAAACTCGACCCGAACTTGACGGGGTTTCGGGTTTTCCCGTCGGGTTCGGGTCATTCTGCCATCCTAACCCCAAGCATTACTTATAGGTCAAATTTTGTTGTTAGTCCTTGTATTATGTACATACTCTCTAACTTGTTTAATTTTAGAACTTCTATTTTTTTAAATTTTAAATTTTAATCCTAACTTAATACAATACAAAGATAAAAAAAATTAAATTATAAAAAACAAAGTGATTTAGTGTCTGTAATATCTTAATATAAATCAGTCTGTCGATGTATCAAATATGAGATGATTATAGGAAAAGGTATTCACAAATTATGTATACTAGAGCGTAGAGGAATTATTAGTTGAATTGAATTTGTCATGTTTAAAAAGTACACGTATTAAAAATAAATAAAATAGAGTGTAATGAACGAATTGATAACACTCATGGTACATGGACAAATTAAACAATTTGACCTTAAATATGCAAAATGACTTGATTACAATTTGGATACTTAAAAAACTAGTCCAAAGTAGAGAACGAAACTTCCCCTATTTTGATGGCAAACAACTAAGCTTCCCCTATTTTCATGGCTTCATGTCAGTGGAGTCGGCCCTTCAAATATCACACGGTTGAGGCTTCACATTTTGGCCAAAAACTAGAACAAGAGAAGAGCAAATCATTTCATCCAAAGGGCAATTTTGCTTGCTTATTCCAAATTCTCCAGAAATGGATGCTTGTTGATTAATGCTTTACATTGGAAAAAAGAGAAAGTAGAATTAGGGACGGAGCTCCCTTAAGGCCCAAGAGACATACGACCACTGTTAAAATTTATATATTCGATATAATTTTAGTTTAATAGTATTTTAGCTCATGTAAAAATAAATATTTAAATTTAAAAAATATAAAATTTATTAAATATTTAATCAAGTAGTGTTGAACTGAAGAATGATAAGTCTGTGTTCTCAAATTTTTTGACTAATCACAATTTAAATCATTGTAAGTTTAAATAGTAGACAAATTAGAAGTTGTCTTTTGAGTTTTGAGGTTTTTTTTTAATTTAGGGTGAATACAAGGTAATATATGTATAAAGACTTTTAACTATTTGACAATGAACGCTCATACACTTACATACGTGCTTGAACTCGGGACCTCAAGGATAACAACAATCTCTTAATCACTAATGTCGTTTGTTTCATATTTAAATTTAAAAAATATAAAATTTATTAAATATTTAATCAAGTAGTGTTGAACTGAAGAATGATAAGTCTGTGTTCTCAAATTTTTTGACTAATCACAATTTAAATCATTGTAAGTTTAAATAGTAGACAAATTAGAAGTTGTCTTTTGAGTTTTGAGGTTTTTTTTTTAATTTAGGGTGAATACAAGGTAATATATGTATAAAGACTTTTAACTATTTGACAATGAACGCTCATACACTTACATACGTGCTTGAACTCGGGACCTCAAGGATAACAACAATCTCTTAATCACTAAGGTCGTTTGTTTCATGCTGAATTTCGAGTTTAAATGCCTAACAAGTCTTTATATTTTTCTTAAATAGTTAATATTTCGGCCCCTGTCAATATTTAATTCTGGCTCTGTCGTTGAGTAGAATGTTGTTTGTTATTTTATATACTTTGTACTATTTAGAGTAGCAGATGTGTTGAAATTCCAAAGGCATGATTTTTGTTGATTCTTATTTCAAGGTAATCTTCAATGGCGTCAAGGCTTCAACAGTTCCAGACAAAGAGGAACCCTTCAACATTGAAACATGTCAATTGTTGGCAAAACAATTGTTTTATACTAGACTTGCTAGGTATTTTCTTCCAAATTCCCACTACACTCAACCACTTCACAAGATTTTTTGTGACAAATACAAACTTAAAAAATTATATTAAAAATATAGAGGTATAATATTATAAAATTCTGGAGGTATGAAATTAATTAATAATAAAAAATATATAAAGAATAACTAAACTATATGAAAATTTGAATTTTTTAGAGATTGTAGCCTCATCCTAGCATAATCCATCCCTGACTATAATTTTAGGCATTCCTTTAATAATATGCATGTGATCTGTATATATATATAACATATATTAAAGTTAATGGTCTGGTACAAATTAAGTAACCTCAGTGGTGAAAGATTGTTGTTATTATTTGATGTTCTAAGTTTGAGCATCATGAATGTAAAGGGTATGAGTGTACAATGTCAAATGGTTGAGAGTTATTTTTTTTAAAAAATACTATTTTAAATTAAAAAAAGCTAATGGTTTGATGTATGGGGTTGATGAAAATGCATGCAATATTCCGAGAAGGTACGAGGCGTTCAAGCATGGCTGCCTTGATTGGAGTTGAGTGCTACGCTTGGTTCTATGGGGGAGAGATCATTGGAAGAGGCTTCACTATTACAGGCTACCATGTCTGACAAACAATAACCCTTTTTTCCATCTCCCTTAGTCCGTGGGGACATAAATGACCAAATATACCTAGAAACATTCGTAGTAGTGGGTTAAAACCGATGTAACCATACTAAGCGTGATACATCCAAGTATATTTAGTTGAACGCGTATCGGATAATTAAGAACGAGGATCATTGTAGAGGATGTACTGGTAAGCGGTACGAAGAGTAAGTTAGATTAAACAATAACGAAAATTGTGTATATCAAGAAATTCAATGAACCAAGAATGTATGAGCAGTCCCTCCAATTCAAGGGGTATTGAGGAGAATTACGATAACAACGATTAGAGTATCGCTATCCAGTTTTGAACCTGAGTCAGGTATCAAGCTAGCTAGTATTTCAGCTAGTGAGCAACAAACACAGTAATTGTCGTAAAATCATGAAACGCATAGAGAATTCCTTAAAGATAGAATGTAATACCCAAAATTTTGGTTAGTGAGCAAAATATAAGTTTTGAAAGTTTGTTAACCAAAATATCAAGTTGTAAAAGTTTAGGGATCAAAAATATAATTTTTAAAAGTTATATATTTTGGATTGTAAATGAATAGTTTATAGAAAAATTGATGTTTTCATGGGAATCAGAATTTTGATTCAAGATTTTTATTAAAAAATTATAAAGCAGTAAAGTCCAACAAGTGAATATATTTTATTTATTTATTTATTATGATCGAGAAAGACTTGTCATAAGTCAACCTCATATTATTATTAAAGAATGATTTTATGTTAATTATGGGATATTTCCACAATGCTTAAATAAAGGTTTTATGAATGGTTTAGGGTATGAACTATCCAAGTTATGGTTTTTATGATAATGAATTAAAAATGATTTTGATTTGGAAATGTTTGATTGTTAAATGAATATGATATGATCTAAAAGTCCATTATATGTTGCATGAAGAGTTATAGGTACACTTTGCATGCCATTAAGTTGAGTAATTATGATGACGTTCTGGTATATTCGTGTGCAATAAAGAAAGGAACTGCTGCAAATGATATAATTGTACTTGGAGTACATATTCTAATTGTGATGATAGCATCGTTGGTGCTTAGTGCACACATTATGTCTGACTCACGTACCTTGTATTATCTTAAAATATATACTGGGTTATGAAAATGAAATGTGAAAGTTTTGAAATGTGATTAAATGGAAAATAATATGAAATGATTATTGTGACTGATATTGATTTTCATGATTTTTATAAAATCATGAGATGAGAATTTTAGCATGATATGCCTTTTTATGTGATAAAGTAACTATATATATTATATGATTTAAAGGAAAGCTAATATTTTTCTGAGTAAACTGATTTGGCATTTTATGCCTTATATATATGTGTGTGTGAAAGTATGACTTTTAAGGTTACGATTTCAGTATAAGAGAAAAAGGTTTGAATTATCAGTTTTTATATTATTTTATATGACAGTAGTAGCATTATGATTATTTATAATCTTTTCATAATTTTAAAAAGTATTACCTTAGTTTATATGCCTCACTAAGTGGAAACTTAGCACCCTCAACTATGCATGTATAGTTACATCAGTCCAGTACATCAGTTATGCATGTATAGTTGCATCAGGCTACCTTCGTTGCCCTGGCAGGGCATAGTCATCATTATGTGACCTCAGGGCACTCAATTATGCATGTATAGTTGCATCAGTCCATTACATTAGATGTACTTAGAGCTTGACTGTAAGACTATGTGAATCGAGGCAATGCTTCAGTTGAGCGAGAATTGTACCGATGCTATATGGCACTGGGTTTCTCCTTCTATGATCTATCTGATGGCTATGTGAGACGAGAAGATCATTCAATAACTTAGTGGGAATTTCACCGATGCTGTGTGACACTATGTTTCCTCAGTTGACTAGTGTCTGATGA